CTCAGCTCTCTCTTCACCACGACAGGCCGGTACAATGCCCGCATCACTGCAGATGCAGCACCAATCTGCCTATCGATCTCACGCTCCAGTTTTCCCTCACTCGTGAACAAGACCCCGAGATACTTAAACTCCTCCACTTGGGGCAGGACCTCATCCCTGACCCGGAGAAGGCATTCTACCCTTTTCCGAATCAAGACCATGGTTTCAGATTTAGAGGAGCTGATTCTCATCCCAGCTGCTTCACACTCGGCTGCGAACCGCTCCAGCGAAAGCTGAAGATCACGTTCTGATGAAGCCAACAGGACCACATCATCTGCAAAAAGCAGAGTTCTGATCCTCAGGCCACCATAATGGATGCCCTCCACACCTTGGCTGCACCTAGAAATCCTGTCCATAAAGGTTATGAACAGAATCGGTGACAAAGGGCAGCCTTGGCGGAGTCCAACTCTCACTGGGAACGAGTCCGACTCACTGCCGGCAAAGCGGACCAAGCTCTGACACCGGTCATACCTTAGCTTAGATCATCATTTTTATTGATGATTTCAATTATTTTTTCATGCCAAACCATTTTCTGTCTTTGTTTATGTTTTTATGTAAGTTTATAAGTAAATAAGGATCAATCTTTCCATTCATAGGTACATTTATTTATTTTTCTGAGTTTTTAAAATGTTCTGCTCAGAGTTTGAGTTCAGATCTGGTTTTATTTCAGTTTTGGGGACTTTTTCTTGACTTTTATAAACTCCTAATGAGTGCCCATAAGGCATAATAATGTTTTGTGTACTACTGCCATAAACATTGTTTTGATTAAGTTTTTGTCCCAAAAGAGACATCCTTTACCATCTTTCATTTTATTATTATTATTTTTTACATTTTTTTTGGTTCTTTTACTTTAAAATCATACTTTCACTTTAGAAACTCTAACACATCACGACATACACCAAAGATAAATCAACTTTTCTGCCCTTCACTTCTTAAAAGAGACATTAAAACTTCACACGGATCAAAGTTTTCATTGTGTAGCAGAAAAAACAGCTTTTAATGCATGAGTTATTTTTACATCGTTTGTGGTTTAAATCATTTTTGGGAATGTGACATGTAGGAATAATTGTCAGGCTCAATAAGAACGGCATAATTTCTAAACTTAATCGTGTTGTGGTGAGCGTTTACTGACGGCTTTTGCCGTTTCCTGCTTTTATTTCTGGGTTTTTGTTATTTTCAACGACATTCCGGACAACTTTTTATTCCATCAACACGAATGTTGGTGGAGGAGAAAAATCTGACGTGAGAAGGAAGTAAAATCTGAAATTCCTGGAGCCTCATGTGGAATTTGTTCCTTGCTCTGATTCACTGCCCCGTCAGGTCTATCGCACTTTAAAAAACCCAAAACCCACATCCAATAGATGATTACTGATTAAAATATTCATATTTGATCCAGATCATGAAATCATTGGCTGAGTTGTTGCTCCTTAATCTCTGTTTTTAAATATTGTGATACACCTGCTGCCAATAACAAAACTGTAGAAGATCGATAGCTTTTATTGTTTCTGAGAAGGAATGTTTATCGACATGTTCCAAAGGAGAAAATATTCCCTAAATTTGACCAGGGTTGTTGGGAAACATCTAATCAGACTCAAACGGTTGATCTTTATTAAAGTAACACTGAGCAGTTTCCTGCTTCTCGACCCTACTGGTTGAAAGTGGAATTACAACTGTGGTAAACCCTGCTCCAGCTTGCTGTAGCTAGCGCTAACCCTAACATGAGCCAACTAATACTGAAATAAACCACAAAGTAAAAGATCCACACTGTTGGACAAAAATATTAGCAACAAGGCCAGGTCACCATCGGTTCATGATTTTGAGACCTTTTTTTAGCTCCATCAAACCAGCGTAGGTCGCGTCGATTTGCTTCACCTCAAAAAACATTACTCTCTTACTTTTACTTCCAGGCTCCACCATGATTCTTCTTGTGCTTTTTAGTGACAATCGGTGAACTGAAAATGCTAACAGTTAGCATTACAGCTAACAGTCGTAACGCAGGTAAAGAACACCCACCAGGACACCTACCCGCTCCACATAAGTGTGGTTTTTGGCCAGCAGAGGGCTGCAGAGTTGAGTCACAGATAAAACTGGTCAAGTTCCTGATCCAACAAACACTGAGATCGATGTTGAAATTCTAGCTTAAAGTTTTTAAAACTATATATTGTTACTTTAAGGTTTTATAGTTGCGCAACTCATCCTTCCTCTACTCTCATGCCCTGCCCTCTCTGCTTTAATGATTCTCCTCAGCGTGGTCCCTCTAACTCGTGAGGTATTCAGGAAGCAACGACACAGAATCACAATTTGAGTGGAGCTGCTTATCAGTTTTACAAGCCGTTGCAAACTTGTTTCAGGAAAGAGTCCAAACCTTTGTTTGAAATCAACATTCTACTCTGATGACGACTGAACTCCCTAACTGGTGTCACACTATTTCACCAACTAAACACAGGCTTGAGCAAAGAAAAGAGGCTTTGTTTTCTGACATCCAACAAACAGAAATAAACCTTAACTGATCCCATCGGCAGGCCGGCACAACTGCGGGCAAACTTCAAACATTTTAGAGATTCTGGCATCAATTTAAGGGAATTTGTGTCATTCGGGAATGCTGAGGGTTGGGAGAGCTGGAATGTGTGTTAGCAAAGCAGGTTTGGTGACTTTATGTCATAATCAGAGGCGGCTGGATTAAAGATTGAAGACAGAATTCAGACTGAAGGAGGTTTTTCATTTAATTGACTCTTAGTTGCCTGGCACCGTTTAGCTTGACTGGCATTTGCCAGAGAACACCAGAACTGGCAGGTCCAGTGGTCCGATCCGGCACCCTGGGTCTTCCTCACAGATGGGAGCAGGTTCACGGCTATTTGCAGGATAAACAAAGGCAACTCTACTACACAGATTAAATCCTTACAACTTTTGTTCAACCCTTTGTTGGTACAGTGGTTCCTGGGTTCCTCCTGGCAGGACAATACCTGGGTTCAAGTGGCGAGAGTACAGGCAGTCCTTGGAGGTTGAAGGAATTGAGACTATTGACTGGCCTCCATGCTCACCTGACCTAAATTTAATAGAACGCCTTGGGCTTCCCGACAGGGTCACGGAAGGCGCTTTATAAATAAAGCTTTGATTGATTGATTGATTGATTGATTGATTGATTGATTGATTGATTGATTGACTGAGAACACCTTGGGGACATCATGTTTAGGTCCATCTTCCATTTGGTTTACCACAAAAGTCCACCCAGAAGCTCCAACTGGTCCAGAATTCTGCTGCACGCATCATTTCTAAAACCCCTGTGAGTCACCATATCAGCCGTGTCCTGCAACCGCTTCACTGGCTTCCTGTTAAACAACTAATAGATTTCAAAATCCTTCTCCTCACATTTAAAGCTATTCATAACCTTTCTCCCCCATACCTGTCTGACCTCATTCACATTATCTCTCCCATCCGTTCCCTCAGATCATCATCCTCTATCACTCTCTCTGTCCCACCTTTCCGTCTCAGCACTATGGGGAGCAGAGCCTTCAGCAGCTTTGCTCCCCATCTCTGGAATTCTCTCCCTCGAGCCATCTGTAACTCTGACTCGCTCTCCTCCGTTAAATCTAGACTCAAAACCCACCTGTTTCAGACTGCATACTGCTAGTGTCACCTTTTCCATCTTCATTGATTTTATTATCTAGTTTCTATTTTTAGGCTTCTGTGTGTGAATTTAGCTGTTTTTAACTTGGCTTCTTTGTTGTTATTTTATTGTTGTAAAGTGTCCTTGTGTCCCTTGAAAGGCACTTTTAAATAAAATGCATTATTATTATTATTATTATTATTATTATTATTATTATTATATGCCACCAGGCTGTACCTCAGATTGCCCAGAAGCTCTGGGAGGATGCCACCCTTTAGCTCAGATGCTAATGTTGCATGTCGTTGTTTCATCCTTTTGTTCCTGACATGTGACCCATCCCTTTTTGGGAATTTGGTTTCATTGAGATCTGATGTGCTTTCAAAGTGTTCATTCTAGTGGACTTAGTTGGACCGCCTTCAGGCTGGTTGTAGGGTCTGTTATGACACAAGTCTTTTCAGGGTGTCGGTGAGGTCTTCAGGTCATTTTAACTGGTCCTGGGTGAAGTGAGGTGAGGTGGCAGAATGGTGTCAGGACAGGAAGTTCTTGGTTCACTAGAAATTAGTCGGGTTCCATCACATCAGCAGCATGCTGGCATGGTGGGATCACGGTGCGTCGTAATCCAAGAGAGGTGGGTGCAACACGTTCCTTTTCATGTTTGGGAATTTGTTTTGAAAAAGCAACGGCGAACGTGAGAGACAAGAACTGTTGCACACTTTGAAAGCTCATACTTTACAGATGTGGCTGAGTGATTTACATCCACTGAAACGAGCTGAAGAAGGAAATTTCCCAGACAGCCGGTGGAGGTGTCTCGTTAGCCGCTTGTCCGGATGTGTGTGTTGGTGTGAGAGTAACACCTGTCGTTATTCCAACACGCTGGGGCTGCTGGGAATGAGCTGAAAGGACTGCAAACTGGAGCCAGAGGCCAGACTAGTATTATAGCTTCAGCATATGTTACCGCATGTGTGTGTGTGTGTGCATGTGTGTGTGTGTGTGTGTGTGTGTGTGTGTGTGTGTGCGTGTGTGTGTGCATGTGTTTCCATCACACACACCAAGGCCACTGGTACTCAAGGTGCTCACCCTTTAACATTTGGTAGCAATTAGCCTCAAACCTGACCCTCCCCACTTCTCCCCCCTCCGTTTTTATTTTATTTTTTACATTCTGTCCCTCCCTCTCTTTTTTTCTTTCTTTGTTCCCCTCCCACCCCCACCCCTTAGCTCTCTCTCTCTCTCTCTCTCTCTCTCTCTCTCTCTCTCTCTCTCTCTCTCTCTCTCTCTCTCTCTCTCTCTCTCCCCTCTGTCCCCGTTTCCCTTAAACCACACTTCTTCTCTTCCCCCCTTCAACATTTCTTCCTCCCTCCCTCTCAGAAGCTGCACATGGTTTGTATTTGAGGTGGATCTGGATGAGAAAGGGAGGAGCTCCACAAAAACACACATTCAGAGCTCGGAGAAGCCTTTCCCAGCATTCCTGACTGAGAAATGACAGACCCCCAGTTATATCTGAAATAATCTAGAGATCAAATCTAAATTGGATGATTTGCACCCACTTTGCATATATTTTTTAACTTGCAGAAGCAGCAAGGTGAAGGGATTTCTTCTCTTTATTTTGGAAATTTGATGCAAGCCAGAAGACAAATGAGCATCATTGATTTGTTGGGAAGAAGGTCAACATCAGCCTTATCTCACTGATCAGCGAACACCAAGCCCTCGCGGGAACCTGGAGCCAGCAAACATGAAAGGTAATGATTCATCGCTTCAGATATGAACACATTATTTCCAAAATTGACTGTTTTTGGGTAATAAGGTAACTGACTCGGGTCGGCACCTGCACAGGGCACTAGAACCCACACCCGCCCCTGATCCGCTCAGAAACCTTGGCAGCGCCGGTCCTGAGAAAGCTGAGGCTGATGTTGTTGTTGGACGTGTCGCTCAGCTTTAAAAATTGCGTGTGTGTGCAAAACAGAACTGTTCTGTAAAACACGAAAACCTGCCTTTCCTCAGCCAGGCTCCCACAGATTGGTTTGATGTTCCCCACAAAAGTAGGCGAGCGGAAACACAAAGAGCTGAGTTTACAAGGTGTGTAAGGAGAACAGCCAGGATCTACAGGGTGAGGAATGGGAGGATGGAGTTGGGAAGTGGGAGAAACAGGGAGGCAATAAGGACTCCAGTGAAGAAACTTAACGTTTAAACCATGAGACGTTTTATCGATTTATTGTCTCTCACCCTCAGTGGCTGCAAGCCTTTCCACATCTAAATCATTCAAGTTGAGAAATGTGTTCATTCTCATCAGTTTTACATTTTATTTTTCTGTAAAAGATTTGATGGACGTCCAAAGGAGTCCGAATGAAGGCAACCGGACTTCTTTGGTTTCTTTGATGACAAAACATCCGTGCAGTTTTGTCAATTCTGACTGGAATGTGGGAGGGTCTAGCTTATAAATGGTAGCTGACTGCTGTTGCTTAATGAGCTGAAACTACCTATGAATACCCCTCCTCCTTAACCCCTAGGGACTTGTTTAAGTCATTAGGACTTATTGTGTCAAAAACAACCATTCCCCACACAGTATTCTGCCATAGAGCTCCATACAATTTGAACTGAATGGCGTTCAGCCTTAACCATTAGTGTTAGTGTTGCTTCTGTTTTGCTTTAAGGGCAAAAGACTTGAAATGACGGGGGACGGGTTCTGACTGTGGTCTGTGCTTATGCACCAAACTACAGTTCAGACTACCCACCCTTTTTGGAGACCTTGGAGGGGGTGCTGGAAAGCGCTCCTTCTGGTGACTCCCTCGTTCTGCTGGGGGACTTTAACGCTCACGTGGGCAACGACAGTGAGACCTGGAGAGGTGTGGTTGGGAGGAACGCCCCCCCCACCCCCCCACCCCCCGATCTGAATTTGAGTGGTGTTTTGTTTTTGGACTTTTGTACCAGTCATGGATTGTCCATAATGAACACCATGAAGAAGAAGACGGAAGTCTGGGCCTCTCAACTTAGGCTACTGCCCCCGCGACCCAACTCCGGATAAGCAGATGAAAATGGATGGATGGATGGAGACTTGAAATGATTTTGAGACAACGTTTTGACTTTGTTTTGACAAGCTTATGATCAAATGATGAAGGGCAGCATTGTGCCAGATGTCACACTTCAGTTTAAACAGCAAGAGGAATCTCAGCGACAAGATTGCAAATACAATTTGGATTAATTGGAACCAGATCAGAAAACTTGGTGACTAAATTGCATCAAGAGTTCTTTCTTCCACATGTGTGAAACATACAAAGAGTCATGAGTTTAGGCCCCCGTTGTACATTTAATCCCAACCGAAGTGGGTTCTGTGCTTTTTTACCAAAGCCTATGTGTGGAACATCCTGGACAGGTCTCATGTCCATCACAGGGACACACAGAGACAAACTGCCATTTTAGAGTCTCCCGGTAACCTAACATGCATGTTTTTAGTCTGTGGGAGGAAATCGGAACGCCCGGAGAAACCCCTGACATGGGGTGAACGTGCTAACCAGGGAGTTCAACCTGCAACCCTCTAATTGTGAGGGAACAGCGCTACCACCTTACCACCTGCACTAGTGCGCATCCTTTTCACCAAACAAAATAGCAAATTAAAGCAAAATGAAAGGGAGCACAGTCAGCTGCTTTATTATTTCTCTTTACCTTCAACTCTACTTTAAAACCCTTCAACTTTCCATTTAACAAAAGTTATAAAAACATTTGTTGCTTTTCTGCAGAGCTGCAATTTTCTCCCTACATTTTTGCCTTCAGGTAATGAAATCCAAACGCGTAGCCATCAAAGAATTCGCCTTGTGTGACATAAAGGATCTAATTAATTGAAATTGAAGTCAAAGGTAAACAAAGCTGCTGCAGGCAGCTTGTGCTGAAACCACAAGACAACGTTGCAAATGAGCTGCCTTACGCAGCAGACGGGGCTCCCCTCAGCCAAAAGGTGCAGGAGGTCCGGTAATGTGGTTTCCAGTCGTTCTCAACCAGAACCAAACATGCTGCTTCATACATTCCTCTCACGGCTGGAGGGAAAGGGAAGGGGTGTGCAGGGGTGACAGGTGGATGTTGGGACAAGAACAAGGAAAGAGAGAGAAAAAAGCTCAATTTCTGGTTTTGTGGATTTAATTTAAAGCTTTACACAGTAAAAGAGGAAAACTTGTTGTTCCTATACAGTTTCTTCTAATAGTTGTTTTTGTTTTTGTTTGACCACTTGTGAGTTCCACCTCCAACCTGCTTTCTGCCTGGAGGGCATTGCACAACCCCTCTTTGACATTTCTACTCCGCTGAAACACACAGGATGTTCTTTGGAGGTCCTGACACACAACAGCTGTGGCAACATCAGCCGCCATCACCAAACTCTTTTCTGAAGTGTTTATTTATGAACAAGCAACCAGATCAATTTACAATTCCTGTAAAATGAAAGTGAAAAGATTTGAGATGACCTATATGCATCAAGTTATCTCTTAACATGAAAAAAACACCATGTCGAGTCTTTATTGTTGCATTAAAATCCAGACAGTAGCTACAAAAGATAGAAATATAATATTAAAGTTACTGAGGGTGAGGAGGGTTGAGGAGCAGTTTCCTGATACTCCACCCTACTGGTTGAACGTGGAATTGCAATTATCGTAAACAACCCTGCGGCGGGCTGCTGTAGCTAGCACTAACAACTAGGGCCTGCACGACTTTATTTTTTTTAAAGTCGACAGTCAAGTAATGAAAGTCGAGTCGACTTCGACTAGTCGTTGATGACGTCATACGCCGGAAGCGGGGGGGGGGGGGGGGGGGGGCGATCGGTAGGTTCGCTGGAGTTTTTGACAATTAAAATTGCGCCCACATTTTCTAAGTTAACACATCTCTTTTAACAACGGTAGTTTCTGCATCCTACTTCAGTCCTCTCCCACCTCCCCCTGCGCAGCAACCGCAAACTCACTGATGCGCCTGCAGCCTTTCCTGCTGCTCTAAACAATAAAATAATTATTTCATTTTCTGTTCCTCACTTCTGATTGCCTTCAATGGTGTCTGTTTGTTGCAACCAGCAGGTACAAAAACTAACTTGTTTTTATTTGACTATTTTTCTGTCCTGCCTGTTTATTATCTTCCTGCATCTCTTCTCAATCCTAAAGAGAAACTGCTACCTGCATTCATATATATTCACCTTATGAGTTACCTTTGAACTGCAGTTCTAAAGGATCTACCGACCGCAAAAACAGCGGAGTGCCGCTGCTCGCCGGCCGACTACAACGGGACCGTTTTTGCTGCGGAGTTCATGCCGGAGCGAAGCGGAGTGGAGGTAGTGGAATCTTGGGGGCGCGTCACCGGAGGACAACAGGTGATGCGCCTCGCTCCGCAGCAGCGAAATGCATCAGGCGCAAATAACAGACAGAAAACATGAAAGGAAATGAGCCGACATGAACGATCGCGTGTTTAATTTGTTTTTGAGGTGGTGACACCTGATTTGGCGGTGCTCAGGACGCAATGTCTGGAGCGCACGTCAACGATCAGAGCTTTGCATGCACAAGCTGGTTAATATTAGGATGGGGGTGAGGGGAAGGTTAAATTGCAAGAGGGAAAACGTCACAGTTTGGTTAAATGTCCGTTTTACCGCCGGTGTCAGTACCGCACAGCGCGTCGCCTCCGCCTTGATCCAGACGCGCAGGGGCTCATCACCTGCTGTCTTTTCCGAGGACTGCATCTTGTCAGTCATTATCACGTGACAGCGACTAGTTGATGACAGGCATAAAAAGTCACTACAGAGCCGTGAAGTCGACTAGTCGACTAGTCAACTAGTTCGTACAACCCCTACTAACAACAAGCTAACACTAACATAAGCCAACTAATACTAAAATAAACAACAAAGTTAAAAAAAATCCACATTATTGGACAAAAAATATTACAAGTCCAGCAGCAACAAAGCCATCACCATCAGTCTGTGACTCTGTAGCTTCCTTTAGTTCGTAGGCCGCATCGATGTTCACTCCGGTTTTAGCTTTTTGCATCACCTCCAAAGACATCACTCTCTTACTTTTACTTCCAGGCTCTGCCATGATGGCAACAGAAAAAGCAAACTTGATTTTTGTCTTCTTCTTGTGCTTTTTGTTGATGATTGGCAAACTAAAAATGCTAACTGACAGCATAACGGCTAACAGCCATAAAGCAGGTAAAGAGCTCCTCCTAGAACAACTTAGCCTAGTGAACTAGACCAAATTCTTGCTTTGCAAAGTTTGGTCTAGGCACGCTCCATTGGAACCTCCCCAGCTCCTACCAGGACTCTGGCTGGCCAATCACAGCTCTCTAGAGGGGTTTCAAACACATAAAGAGCTGTGATTGGTCCATAATGGTGGGCCAATCATAGTGCTCTATCTGCTTAGTGAACAAATCACAGAGCTTTATCTGCTTTGTGGGCCAATCACGGCACTCTATGCCTGGTGGGTGGGATGATGCAACAGAGTGAAACAAGAGTATGTCACATTCATTGTCCAGTAGCATGCGGAGATCATTTGAAAGACAATGGTAGAACCCGCCCCACAACCGAGAGCCGTCAATGGAGCATGGCCAGACTAAATAATACATTTATTTAGTCTGGCTTGCCAGGCTAAGAACACCTACCTGCTTCACAAAACTATCTAGTGCAGTTTTGGTTTAGCACAGGGCTGCAGAGTGGTGTCATATATGAACTTTTCTAACTCAACAATCACTGAGGTCAATGTTAAAGCTCTAGCTTAAAGTTTAA